ATTTCCTCCCATGGAAACTAGACTCCTTCTGTGTCCTTCCAGGAAGGACCCCCCTGTATTCTCCTCCAAGCTCCTCTCTCTAGCTCTCTTGTCACTCAACCCTTTAGATGCCTAAGGAAGTTTTTCAGAAAGATCTTGTGGGCATCATTCACCAACATGGCTTCAGTATCCTTTACCCTTAGTATGTGGCTAGGTATAGCAGGGCTGTAGTGTTCATTTAAAGAGTTGAGTCACGTGGGAGAAAGCCATGGAGTTGCTGTGAGGGGTCAGATGCAGTGAATGCATTCTTCCCAGTGCCTGCTCTCATCCAACTTGGAGAATGAGCAGAGCTGACTCCCTCTGTGCTGCCTGTTCCCAAAATCTGCACACTTGTTCCTTTTTGTAAATGTACACACTGAGGAGGAGCATGTGGGACCAGAACATACCAATTCAGAGCCTCGCTCTGGGTACAATGTGGAAGGTCTTCCACAGTATTTTGAGGAACCCTAGGACTGGACTTTCTATTCCCAGGGTATGAGAGTCCCTTTATTTGATGAGGCCTTCTTCCTGCTGCCCAGTTTTGAGTAAAGTCCTATAAGAGGTTGTGGGGGAGGGAGGAGGGAGTGGAGTCTAGTCAGCTTACCTGTGACTTTCCTCCATCTACTGCCCATGAGTGAACTTTACATCCAATAAAAAGTAGGCTCATTATCACAACACTTTGAATTATGTAGCAAGGAAATTTCACTTTATAACATGCCAAAGCTTTCTTACCTCCCATCTAATTTTACTCATAATGCCCTCTGCAGTAGGCAGGTTAAGGCTGATTCTTTCATCTTGACAGCTGGGGAACTAAGTTGTAGATAGTTCTGTACTTGACTAGAACCATACTCTGATTTGGTTCCAGCTCCCCAGGGCCTTTTGAAATTTAAATGGCCAACTTTGCATTGAATCCTCCAAACTGACTGCCTCTATTCTCTCCACAGGCCTAGTGGTGGTGAATCATTACTTAGCATTTCAGTTTTTTGCAGAAGAATATTATCCTTTCTCAGAGGTAAGGTGTGGGGTTTACCTTGAGAACTTAGCTATGATCTGAAACTCAAGCCATTTGAAGATGATATATAGTATATTTATATATGTGTGTATACATATGTATGTTTGTGTGTATATTATATATATACATATATACGTTTTATATATATATATATAAAATGTATGTGCATGCCAGTCCTAGGGCTTCAACTCAGGGGTCTGGGTACTATCCTTGAGCTTTTTTAACCGTTAATTGGAGATAAGAGTCTCATGGACTTTCCTGTCTGGGCTGGCTGACTTAAAACCATGATCCTCAGATCTCATCCTCCTGAGAAACTAGGATTATAATCATGAGCCCCTGGTGCCCAGATAAGAATCATATTTTTAAAAACATGGAACATAATACAAATGATTTCTGAAAGCAGTGTGGCTGATAGGGGGAAGACATTGCTTCCATTATCCCAGTAAGTCCTTTGAGTCCCCTCAAAGGGTTACAGGGCTGGTCTCACAGAGCAGGGTGGGCTGTGGTCCTGAGCCTCAGCACCCCTCAGTGGACTGCCAAGGTTTCTTTTGTTTACTACACCTTATTATTCCAGTTTGAAGCCTCAGGGAAGAACAGTTTCCCTTCTTTTGGGAATGTGGTCACATTCATTCATCCTTATTGTCCATCTTTTTCCATTGAATTATCTGCATCTGAAAACGTCCTGTTTCCTATGTTCCAGTCCCTGTAGAGATGGGGCAGACACATGAGCACCATTCACCATCTCTAAACCCATAGTGACATCCCCAGCCCACCCCTGGCACCTTCAGGACACTCTTCTCTTGTTGCCAGGTCCTGGCCTATTTCACTTTCTGCCTGTGGATAATCCCGTTTGCATTCTTTGTGTCACTTTCGGCTGGAGAGAATGTCCTGCCCTCCACCATGCAGCCAGGCGGTAAGAAGGGGTTCCACATTGGGGAATAACAAGGCCCAAGTCAGTTGGGGGAAGCAGAGCCTAGCCCTATGATGAAACACTGGGACTCAAGAAAGGGTAAACAGTGTTTATGTGTATAAACACACACACACACACACTCTCACTCATCTTCCTGCCTGTGTCTCCACAGATGACGTGGTCTCCAATTACTTCACCAAAGGCAAGCGGGGCAAACGCTTAGGGATCCTCGTTGTCTTCTCCTTCATCAAAGAGGCTATTCTACCCAGTCGTCAGAAGATATACTGACCCCCTTGGGGAGGGTATGTGGGGACAAGATCAGGAGAGTTGGGCCCCTGGGCCTCTGTGCCAGTAGTGGCCAGGAGTCTGGAGGGCACTACTGCAAGCCAGGGCTTCCCTCCCCTCAGTTCTGAAGCCCCATCCCCACCCTCCTTGGGGCTCAGCTTGGCTCGGATCCGATGCTGCCAGGGGCTGCCAAAGGGCACCTGGAGGGTGGCAGAGCCTACTTAGCCAGGAGGCCATGTCCCTGGCCCTTCTCTCCCCCTCCAGTAGGGGCAGCAGGGCAGGGTCTATGAAGCTGGAGAAGGCTGATGATAACTTCTCTGGACAGATGGCCATAGGGACAGCCATGGCTTGGCATTTCCAAGAGAAATGGTTTTTTGCTGTTGAACTGTGATTTTTGTCTAATTGCTGGTTCCCATTTGAATAAAGATTCTAGGTGGCATTGTTTGCCTTAATACCCCAAAAGTTCATCTTCTTTTCTTCCCGCTAACCTTCTGCCTGGACTGGACCAGCTTTATACTGCAGGGTCTCCTCTTCTGGGCCTGGGCTCCCCCTTCCAAAGAAGCCCTTCTTGTAGCCCTTAGTGAGAAGGGAGCAGAGCTAAGCAGCAGAGCCTGGGTGCGGAGTGGGGTGGAGGTAAAGGCAGGCTTTCTCATGCACCTCCCCCTTCTTTCAGCTCTTCTTTCCCCAAGGCTCTGTGATTATCACACGCTGGGAATAGGAAAGGAGTCAGTTTAGGACTGGGCCTTCAGATGTACATGTACAGTATTCTATTTATGTCTTTATTTGAGGAAAGGGAGTGGTTTCTGGTAAAATTCTCTCTCAGGCTTCAAGAAAAATTAAAATTGGCTTTCAGGCAGCCTGGGCTATAGCCTGGTTTTTAAGACATGGAATTGTTGGGCTAGGCTGTTTGTCACTCTGAGCACACAAAGTCTCTGTTGTGTGTGCTCCTGGCTCCTGATATGAGAGCCTGTGCCACCTAAAAAGGCAGGCTACAGCATTTGTTGACCTTGCACTTACAACTACAGTGCCTTGTAAGTACTTAACAAACACATTAGAATGAAGTCTCCATGACAGCCGTCATCTGCCGTGTCCTATACCTCACAGTAAGGCTGGTAGGAACAGAGATGGACTGCACACACATGGCACCTTTAAGCCACTGGAAAGATGCGTGTGCTTGAAGATCTTCTGTGTCATGCCTGAAGTCCCTCCATGGCCCTTCAACTTTTCCAATTCTGTTCCCTTAACGGTTCCAGCCATCCCCTTTCCCTGGGAGGACTGGCACATTTTGGTCTTACAATGGGAGTGAGATTGCCAAGCCCTTTTCTGCTATGCAGAAAGGAGTGGAGAAGGTAGAGGGCACAAAACGATGGTGACAGTGGGCTGACAGTTCTCCTTTGCTGTCCTTTTCTTTGTTCTTCTCTCTGGTGGTGTGGTTTCACCCCTTACCTTCACTCTACCACCAGTCAGTGCTCCCCCATGACTTTCTAGAGACTTTTGTGGGCTAAATCCAGTGGAGTCCTACCCTAACCCTACCTGATCCCAACATCAGATGACATGTCTTATTACTGCCTGCTTCTTGAATCGTACTTTCCTGGTACTTCTGTGGCTGGCTGGCCCTCTACCTCTGGCTGTCCTTACAGTCTCTTGTGCAGGCTTCTCTCCTTGCCCCAGACATACTGGGGCCTCTCAGGGTTCTGTTTTGGGTCCCTGGGGAAGACCATCAATGTTGATGGCTTCAGGGACTCTGGAGGAACACAGCATTGACCTCCAACCCCAGCGTCCTTCCTGTCTTTTGAATCATAGTTCTGTCTCCTGAGTACACAGATAGCTCTCATCCATGGCCCAGACAGCATCTGCTGCTGTCCTCTACAACCTTGCCCTTTGGGGTACCTACCTTGACCCTACTATCACTCAAGAGCCAGATGGAGCATTTGCTTTCTATCCTCACATTCTGTTTCATACAGCCAGTTTCTGAAAACTGCCAAGTCTATCTTGCTAACATCTCTTGATTTGAGCCATTCCTACAGTCATCAACTTTTACCTGGTTTATTGAGGTACCCTCCTGTACTTATCCCATGGCCAGCTGGAGTTATCTTTCTAAAATGTACACTGACCAAGTCACTCCTAGTCTAAAACCTTCTATGGCTCCCACTGCAGGATAAAGTCCCAGACCCCTTAGCATGGCTTGAGACACATAGCAGCAACCCTGCTTACCTCTGGCCTTATCAATTGCCTTTTTTGCTTTGTGGGTCATCTTCTGGAATATAGATATACCATGGTTCTCTCTTGCAACTTTGGTTCTCCTTTCTACTAATCACATTGGTACTTTCTCAAGTTATGACTTAGATTTTACTTCCTCCAAGAAGCTTTGAATATCTCCTATCCCCACCTCAGTGCACCCCACAGATCATTCCAGGCTCACTTGCCTGCTTTATGGTCTGTCTCCCATTAGACTGTAAGCTCCTTGAGGGCAGGAACTATCCTTGGATTTTTTTGTATCAACAGTGCCTAGTTTGTCACTTGGCGCATGAAAAGCACTCAATAAATGTTTGTTTAATGAATGATCAATGATGTGTACAAGGGGACTACAGTTATCAAGGATGACTTCCTGGAGGAAGTTTAAGTCACTTTCATCTTTTCCTCAAATATACATGTTCTTCCGCCCTCTCCCCCAGATATGATGCCCATGCTTCCCTAACCTGCTGACCCCCCCCCCCCATGGCAGCTAGGAGCAAGGGATGGCACCCATAGTAGCAGGGGTGCTCATGCCAGGGTGACAATAGCTGTCCTTCATGCTGTATGGATATGTAGATGAAGAATGAGGCTTTGAGCCTACAGAAGGACATCCTGAACACAGGGCAGAATTTTCCCTTGGTGCCTTGATCCTGGAAGCCTTATCCCCATTGGGCTGGGAGAGGGGTGGAGGATAGCGTGCTGTGTAAATGTGGGAGCGCTGCCCTAATTTGTGAAGGAGGGAGGCCTGGAATCTGGGTTTGGGGGCGAAGGTTTCCTGTCCTTGAGCTTAGAAGGGAAGTCAATGGACACTGGAGCCTATTGTTTTTTTCCCTACACAACATGAATTACCACATTTCCACTGCCTCAGGTAGAGGCTACCAGTATAACTTTATGAGGACTGTGGAGGAGAGGGCAGCATTTGAGCTTGCAGTGCTAGCAGGAAGGCTTCGTCAAATGTCTCACGCAGGTTCATAGTCACACTGTCAATCCAGGTATCTTGGCCCACCTGCCGCTTCTGTGTCAGGTTCAGTACGCTTATAGGATGTAAGCCCTCGGGCACCTTCATCCTGTATGGCTGAGACTTTGGGAACAGCGAGTCAACTATCACCTTGAAAGGCAGCTGGGGCAGGGGTGCCACCCAGTGGCCATCCACAGTGTGCAGACTCATAAGGCCATGGGCATCCTGAATCACCTCTAGGAAGCTGCTGAAGTCGTGTTCCCTGTGAGGGTCTGGATGCACACCCAGGCGGATGCCCTGTGGGCAGCTGATGTCAGTGGGAGGGTGTGTAGCAGGGTTACTGCTATGATTCCATGACTTGGGCCGCTGATGGATGAGGAGTGGATTAAAGAGCTTAGGCAATATCTTAGGCTGCAGCAGTAAACTTTGCAGGCGTGCCTCCACAGTGTGGCGGACCCCCTTGGTTCCTGAGGTTGTTGAGAGAGCAAAGAATTGAGGTTGGGCACGAGCCTGTTGCATGGAGCTGGAGATCGGGGGTTGGCATTGTTTCTTGGAATGGAGCCACTTGCTGAACTCAGTGTCTCTCTGAATGCTTTGTTCTTTCTGCATCAACAGAAGGGGTAGAGGGCTGTTCTTGTACTTGTGTGAAGGAGGCCCTGTGGCTATAGAGAACCCTGAATTTGATGAGGGAAATGTCTGCCTTGTGGGAGCCTTGGAGGAAAAAGCCCTTGCTCTGAGGAAGCTGCTGGGCCAATGGGGGAGACAAAGCTTCACACCCTAATGAGGTGTGACCTCTATTGTCCTTGAAGAGGAGGGAGAAGCCCTTCCTGCCTAGGAATATACCAAGCTTTGTGAGACATCAAATCTTCTCCCCACAAAGGGATTCCTAGTCTGGTAATGAAGACATGTCCTGAAACAAGAGATTCTGGTTTGATGTGGGCAAGTAAATGAGAAGTACAAACTATTCCTTGACCCCAGAAGGAGAAAGTAAAAAGTTTGGAAGGCCTGGAGTTGGGGGAAGTGATGATCCTTGAGATATCTGGTGTGGGAGGATCCAATCAGTACTGCTCCCAGGCTGGGTGGTAGGTAATGACAGAGTTCTATCCTTGCTTCTACCTCAGTGAAACTTCCACCTGCCCCCAAATCTCTTCACCCTACTGTCTCAAAGTGTCTCACTTCCAGACTGTTGCTAAGCAATCAGGCTTTGGAGAGATTGACCCAGCTTCAGGAGCAGTTTCTGATTAGGCTAAGCCAATCATCCTAATTCCATCAGCCTTGCCCTAGACATGAGTAAATCAACATATGGCTTTCCAGTCATTGGAATAGAGTGGACACATTGGATACAATTGAGGCCATCGGAGATTCCCTAGCCAACAAGAGATTGAGTAGGTATCTGCAAGGGGCTTCTGAGAAGGGTTAGGGCCACAGGAAACAGATGGGCTTTGCCTCTTCTGGACATGTGTGTGACTATTAGTTTTGTGACAGAGTCATGGAATCCATGCAGAGAAATGCAGCTAGAATACAGCTGGAGTTGGGGAATAGTCACACAGTCCTAGAGCCCTCTCCACATTGAGACCCACTTAAAGATTGCAAGTATCTGTCTGGGTTTTCTGGTTGTTTTAGTTTGCATCCTGTGTAATTGTACTTGCTTAAAATCCATCCCAGTTCTAGTCAGTCTTTCATTAATATGAATCCCTGTCCATCTCTTAACTCACATCTGTGTGTGAGTGCTGGTGCTGGAGCTTGAACTCAGGCCTGAACACTGTCCCTTAGCTTTTTTTTTTTTTCTCAAGCTTGGCACTCTACTACTTGAAGCACAGCTCTATTTCCAGCTTTTTGGTGGTTAATTAGATGTAAGAGTCTCACAGACTTTCTTGCCTGGGCTCGCTTTCATCCATAGTCCTCAGATCTCAGCCTCCTGAGTAGCTAGGATTACAGATGAGAGGCACCAGTGCCCAGCTTCCAACTTCCATATGATCCCCAAGTTTGCTGTTTTCACTGCACATTGTGTTCCCATGTTCTCCTATGCCTTTCCACATGGCTTTTACTTCCATCAGGCCTTCCCTACTTTGTATTGCCAACCCACGAGGCTGCCGATACTCAAAGACCTGTAAGCATCCCTTCCATCAGAAGAGGGATCATGTCTTACTTTCTCCCTTGCCTCTAAGCTTCTTGAGTTTAGAGTGAGTGCTAAGTGTCTGTGGAGACATGAGTTCTAATAATAGGCAGGGCCCTGGCCTTATTAGAGGCTCTCATCCTGAGTGGGCAGTATCATCAGAAAGGCCTCATGAATACTTACTAATTTAGGCTGCTTTTGCTTTCTAATGCTACACAAGACCTTTGACCTAAAGAAGGAAGGAATTTCAGCAGAATAGAAGGGTGGGGTTCGGTGGAGGAGAGAGCTCCCACTCTGGGCATGAGTGCTAACCACTCTTGTCACTAGAGCAGGTAGGTCCCTACCTCTATGCCCACATGCCTGCATAGCAGCAGTGCCTGGCCCTGCCCGGCTTCCCTCTTACTTGGTGTTTTATCAGGTAGTTTTGCTCCATGGACATCAACTTGTTCTTGAGGTACTTCAGTTTCTCCATCTCACGGGCAAAATCCTTCTTATCATGTTTCCACATGGCATCTTTCAAGAACCTGGCACCAGGGTGAGGACATGTCACCACACAGGTATAGAGCTTCTACGCTGGTTAGGAGGACTGGTGGCTGCTGAAGGTATGGATGGTATGGGAGGAGCTACCAGAGTAGGGAAGAGCAAGATGACCCACTGACCAGAGGCCCCCTGGCATATTATATCCTTTGGAGAGAAAGAGGAAAGTGTCTCATGGTCTGATCATGACCCTCTGAAGGAGAAGCCTTAAGAATAGGACAGAGGGTGATGTTCAACCTCAAGAGTTAAAGCCTGGCAAAAGTCCTGCCAATATCTTGGGTGTAGAGCTTCCTCCACATGTGGTTCTCCAGACCTTCCTCATAAAAGGCTCAGCCTTGGGTGGGGTCTGGGGGGAGAGGGAAGCGGGTGGGGAGGGTTGGCAGGCTGCTGGTGTTTCCCACACCCTCACCGGGCACAGGAACGGTGGTTCCATATTTTGCAGTAGTCGATGGGCTTGCAGCCTGTGGCATCTCGGGCATGGACATCAGCACCATTCTGCACCAGGACCTTCATGCATGTCAGCATGCCATCACAGGCTGCCAGGTGCAAGGGTGTGGAACGGTTGTGTGTCACACTGTGGAGGGTCCCACCATGAGGAGAGAGGGCAGAAAGAAGGACAAAGGTACCTGGCTCATCAGATAGGCGGGTGAGCAAGCTTCTAAGGGCTCACTCCAGCACCACCTATTAGATGACCCTGGCCATGTCCCTTTACTTCTCTGGACTTCAAGTTGCTCTATGGTAGGAAGGATTAGACTAAATGAACAGGGAACATCTTTCTTTAGGAGGCATGTGACAGTTCAGAACTGCTGGAAGGAGACCTGGGTCAGTTCAGAGCTACCAACCTCATCTAGTCAAATAAGTCTGCCACATCTGCCCCTTCCCCTGGCTCTCAGGCTCTGCAGACCTGGGCCAGCTTCTTCCTCCAACTCATCCTCTGATCATGCCCCACTCACTCCCAACACATAGCCTTTGACTTGATTTTCCCTCTGCCTGGAACACTTTCCCCAGGTTCTTTGCATGTCTGGCTTACTCAGACTTTAAATTAAAATTTAAACACCTTCTTAGAGGTGATTAACTCTTCCAAAATAGATCCTCCCCACTCCATCATCCTTTTTATGCCTTTCACTGACCACATCTCATGTTGTATGAGAATTCTGTCCCATTACTTGTTGCTAATTTTCTGTTTCTGCACTTAGAATGTCAAGTCCCTTCATGAGAGAAGGGACCAGTACTGTGTATTAACTGCTAACCCGCAATTCTGAAATAGTATTTATTAGCTCATAGTACATAGTGTATACTCCATTTTTGATAATTTTAAAGGGATAGAACAGTTTATTAGGAATACTTGTTGACCCCCTCATCCCAAGTTTGAACTTGGCCTGGGCACTGTCCTTGCACTTTTTTGCTCAAGGCTTCCTGAGTACCTAGGGTTACAGGTGTGAATTACCAGCACCTGGCCCCAAAATGCACTTTTAATAGATAGCAGTGGGTCATTTCCATGGTGAGAATGACCTTTTTGATAAATATTTTAAATGAACACAGTCCATTATATGTCATGTATTTTCTCAGTTATCCTAAGAATTTATGCAATAGGTAAATTTAGTTGGGGACAGTTAACTGGGAATTAGAAACACCTGGGTTTCTTTTAAGAGTTCCAAAGCCCAGGACAGGAAGATGCCAAAAACATTAAGTCACAACCTTTGGAATGAAACACTAGCATTGATTTTGTTGTTGTTGTTGTTGTTGTTGTTTTGTGTGTGTCCGTGTGTGTGCACATGCACACATACTTGCCAGTACTGGAGCTTGAACTCAGCACCTCACAGTCTCACTTGGCTTTTTCACTTAAGGCTGGAGCTCTACCACTTGAGCCACACTTGCTTCTAGCTTTTAGTGCTGGAAATTTTAAATTTGAGATAATCTCATGGACTTTTTCTGCCCAGGGTAGCTTTGAACCTTGATCCTCAGATCTCCACCTTTTGAGTACCTAGGATTGCAGGTGTAAGCCACCAGCATCTAGCTAGCCCTCAAGGTGATTCCAATGTACGCATAGGCCTGGAAAGAGCAGTGAGGTTGACAGGTTGGGTGATTTGGCTAATGTCTTACTGTATGCTAGTAAATGGCAAAGCTGGAGATATAAACTGGGTATTTCTACTCCCAAAGCCCAGGATCCTAACCATGATACGACTGTGGGCTCCACTGCATTATATGGAACCAAATCCCTGTTCCCTTCCCCACTCCCCATCTTCCATGAACCTGCCGCTGGCCTGCCTGCCCAGGCTCCCAAACCTCCCTCCTGAAGCAGGCTGGACTCACGAATTGATGGCTGCCCCTTTCTGGAGCAGGTAGTCAATGCAGGGGACAGCCATGGTCTTGTTGTCCTTATGGATGACGAGGTGCAGGGGGGTCCGGCAATCGTCGGTGGGTAGATCGACAGGAAACTTGTATTCCTCTACCAAGACCTGTATACATGACAGCCTGGCACGCTGGGCCGCCAAATGGATGGCTGTGAAGCCCTGTGGGATTCGGGTTGGGCAGGAGAAGGCTGAGCGGGACGGGGGCCCGAAGGCCCACAGCCTGTGCCCGAATAGCTCATGCTCCTTTCCCACTCCTGCTGGGTGTCGGAGCACCCACCCCCTAATGGGCTTCCTACTCAAGGTGAATCGGAGCTCCACGCGTGCCCCATCTTTGTCCGGCGACCACAGTAGGAGGAACTCTTTTCGGGGTGTGCGGGAGGGACTTGGTTCCTGCTTCCACACTTCAAGGCGTTACCTTGTCATCGGCCAAGATTTCCTGGCGGTCCGGATTGATACAGAACCGCAGCCATTCTACGTTGCCCACCGCGGCGGCGAACAGCTCGGAGTACTTTCCAAAGGTGTGGTAGTCGGACAGCTCGCCGGGGCTGAGGGCGGCGCGGGGCGGGAGTGAGCGGGGCCAGGCCCGGCGGCCGGAGGAGGGGAGTCCGCGCGGCGAGGGCGGTCACCCGGCCGCAGCCCCGGAGGTGAGCTCGGGCCGGGCCGCCCCGGGGCGCAGCACCTGCCCCACCCCTTCCAGGGGCGCCACGCCGGGGGCCGGCCCGCCCACCTGCGCTGCTGGCTCGTGGAAGTACTCTGGCTCCACGTGAGCCTTCGCGGCAGCGAGACGTGCCGAGTCAGCCGCCCCTCCCTGCCCGCGAAGACAGACCCATCCCAGGGCCACGCCGAGGCCCGGCGGCTGAAGCTCCTGCCGTGCGCCCCCGACTCGGAAGGCAGCCGAGCGCGTGCGGCCGCATCCCCGGGGGGCGCTCCGCCGCCGCCCGCCTTCTCCATGGCGCGGACTCGGGGCCTCCGAAGGGGCTCGCTCGGCTCGCGGCGGGATGGAACCCGGCGCGCCCCGCGCCCCTGCCCGCCTCCGCGTGGCTCCGCGGGCCCTCTGCCCCGGAAACCGCAACGGCGCAGCCGGCGGCACGGCGTTTATTCGGATCGCCTAAGTAGAAAACAGAAAAGTTCAATGCGGAAATCACAATCACCGCGTCGCCGCCCACAGCAACCGGGGTCTATTGCGAGGCCACACGCATCGCACACATTTTCGGATCTCTTGGTCCTTTAGCGTTGTGTTACGAGCTAGCTCTCACTGCCATTCTATGTACCAAACATGCATTATGACGTAGCGACAGCCCAGCGTCACACAGCCCATCCAGGCTGCCGTGACCCGTGCTGGAGAGAGCAAAACGGCTCGGCTCAGGTTATCTTCCTGGAATGGATTTCTGCAGATAGTAGATGGTGGAGGTAAGAGAAGGCATGCGGGACTGTACTCCCAGCGGAAGCAGGAGGACCACAGGGTAGAGGCCAGCCTGAGCTGCATAGGAAGACCTTGTCTCAAAAAAAAACAAAATATTATTCGATGAAAGGGAACGAATATTTTTGGCTATTGATTTACATTTCCAACCATATTCCAGAAGAGGTTTTTTACATGCATTTTCACTAGAAATGAAGCAGGCACGCCACCCAGTAGAAGCCGTGGCTGTGGGACAGTCACTCGACCTCTGCCTGTTAGGTTTCTGTTCCTTAACAAGATGCGGAGCTTTGGAGCAAACAGATAAGCGCTCTCTCTGCATTCACTATTGAAGAGAGAACTAGTTAAACCTTTGCTAGCATTTGGATATGATGATTTTAAATGTTTGCTAATCTGATCGTGGAAATCATATTCTAATGTGGCTCTTTGATTCACAAAGGTTATATATTTAATTATCATTTAATTCCCTTCTGGAAATCATTGATTTATTCACGATGTTTTTTAAGGGTCTCATTGTGTTTCTTATTGATATATAAAACTTATTAACTCAGTGCCTTTTTTTGTCTGGTGGTAGAAATGGGGTTTGAACCCAGGGGATCTATGTTGCTGGACAAGAGCTTTACCACTGTGCCACATCTACAGTCCTAGGAGAAAAAGTAACAGTACAGAGGAATTACGCCAGCATTCAAATGAGTCCATCTGGTTTAGGGCCCAGACATAGTTTACAAAATCTCCTAGGTAGTTGGTTCTCTTAGGCTGCTAAGATTTAGAACTACATTAAATATTCCTGCCAGTCTTCTTTCTAGGGAGGTAAGAGGCTGCAGGTGATCCTGAGAGAGGAGGTTCAGGACAGTGAGTTAGGAATGCAAGGGTTTTCAGGACCCTTGATATCTAGAATAATTTGCTATCAAATCTTTATGCCCAACCTCCATGTCTGGAATGAAAGCACCTATCTACCCAATCCCCACAAAACAACCATAATGCATGGAAACTACTTTTTTTGTTCTTGTTGGTCGTGGGTCTTGAACTCTGGACCTGGGTGCTATCCCTCAGCTCTTCAACTCAAGGCTAGCACTCTACCACTTGAGCCACAGAACCACTTCCAGCTTTTTCTGCTTATGTGGTGCTGAGGAATTGAACCCAGGACCTCATGCATTCGAGGCAAGCCTCTCTACCATTGAACAATCTTCCCAGCCCGGAAACTACTTTTTTTTTTTTTTTTGTAATTGACTGTTTTGGTGTTTTTTATTTTTTAATGTTTTTGTCCTTATGGCACACACATACACACACACTACATAGAGAGAATAAATCTACTAAATCTCCTTAATAACAGAATCTGTGGCATCTGAGCTACCACCCACTCTTTCCCTCTATCTTCAAATCATAGCAATAGCCAAAGCTCTCCAATATGAGTAATTGGCTGAGAAATTGACACATCCTCTTCAGCTCCTGAGAGAATATTTTATTGGGAGAAACAAGCTGCTTCTCTTTCTTGTGCTTTACAGGCTAAATTCCTGCTGAGCATAGCTAAAAGATTGAGGGATCCCTTTCTTTATCCCCTAATAAAAAGGCATGCAAGGCATGACATATTAAGAATATTGGGGCCCCAATCACTTGCCACTTTACTCATAGGAACTATATTAGGAGAGGCAAATCAACAGGACCAGAGGCTACCACCCCTGCCCAGAGCTCTCCCCATAAGAGGGTTATCCTGTCTTCAGCTCTACAGCAGGTACTCAAAGGTTATGCCCCATCAATTCATTAGAGCTCCAAGCCATGTGGTACAAGTCTATAATCCCAGCAGTCAGGAGGCTGAGGCAAGAGAATCACAAGTTCTAGGCCAGTTTGGACCATACAGTAAGTTCCAGGTTAGCCTGGGCTGCATAGTTACATTCTGTCTCCAAACAAAAACAAAACAGTCTCCAAGGATTTCCATCAAAGACTGATTTATTTGTAATAGTGTGGGGACATAGAGAAGGGGGGGGTCTAATGTTATTCTCAAAATGGAGATTGTTGTAGAAAGCAATTAAAAAATCTAAACTGTAGGTGAGCTAGTTTGCTACAGGGAACCAGGGAAAGCTTAGAAGATCCCTGATAGTATCACAACAAACCTTAACGACTAGCTATAAAAATAACCTTGCAAGATCAGTCTAGGGAGCAGTTGATTCCTTGGGGAATCAGAAAATAGAGCAATAAGCAGGCAATTAGTGGAGACTAAAAGCTGCGGCAAGGGCAGACAATTTAACCACCAGGGAGTCACCAGGGAGAGATAGTCCAAGAAGATCCTGCTTAAAGCACAGCCATTTAGAGTGACTATAGAATATGGCCAAGGCTACACCCTGTAGTGGTCATTCAGTGCTCATTATGGGGGTGGGGGAGGCTTCACCAAAAACAATCCATCAGTAGAACAAAGTCCCAGAGAGAAGCAAGAAAATAAAAATGTAGTTGCCAAAACATATTACCTAAAAAAATCCAGTTACCAACAAAAACTAGGAGATATGCAAAGAAGCAGGAAACTGTAACCCATAAGCAAACAATAAAACCAGGCAACAGAAACTGCCCAGGAAAAGTCAGATATCAGACTTTTAGAACAATACTTGAAAGTAGTATTCTAAGCATGTTCCAAAAACTAGAGGAGGGGCTGGGAAGGTGGCTCAGTGGTAGAGTGCTTGCCTTGCATGTTCGATTCCTCAGCACTACATAAGCAGAAAAAGCTAGAAGTGGTGCTGTGGCTCAAGTGGTAGAGCACTAGCCTTGACTAAAGAGCTGAGGGACAACTCTCAGGCCCAGAGTTCAGGCCCCATGACCAACAACAACAAAAAAAAAAACTAGAGGAAACCCTGTTTAAAAAAAAAGTAAAAGAAATGCTAGGGTTGTAGCTCGGTAGTAGAGTGCTTAACTAGCATGTGAAAGGTCTTGAATTGGAGCCTTAGCACTATAAAAAAATAAGTTCATCTTCCTCACTCTTTCCACTTTCAAGAAGCATTCAGAGTTGGCACCAGTGGCTCAGGCCTGTAATCCTAGGTACTCAGGAGACTGAGATCTGAGGATCACAGTTCAAAGCTAGCTGTGGCAGGAAAGTCCATAAGACTCTTATTTCCTATTAACCACCAGAAAACTGGAAGTAGTGCTATGGCTCAAGCGGTAGAGCACTCACCTTGAACTGAGGAGCTGAGGGATAATGCCCAGGCCCAGAGCTCAAGCCCCATGACTGACAGAAGAAGAAGAAGAAGAAGAAGAAGAAGAAGAAGAAGAAGAAGAAGAAGAAGAAGAAGAAGAAGAAGAAGAAGAAGAAGAAGAAGAAGAAGAAGAAGAAGAAGAAGAAGAAGAAGAAGAAGGAAGAAGAAGAAAGAAGGAAGAAGGAAGAAGGAAGAAAGAAGAAGAAGAAGCAGCAGCAGCAGCATTCAGGATATCCTTATAGATAGGGGGACATCACAGCCTTCATGAGCAGCAGACCTTCTGGATTTCTGGATGCCTATTGGTTGCTTTTTTCTTTTTTCTTTTTTTCATTTGTACCAGTCCTGAGGACTGAATTCAGGGTCTGGGAGCTCTCCCTGAGCTGTTTTTCTCAAGGCTAACTCTCACTTTACCACTTGAGCCAGAGCTCTACTTCCAGCTTTGTGTGTGTGTGTGTGTGTGTGTGTGTGTGTGTGTGTGTGTGTGTGTGTGTGTGTGTGTGTGTGTGTGTGTGTGTGATTAATTGGAAAGTCTTACAGACTTTCCTGTCCTGTTGGGCTTCCAGACAAGATCCTCAAATCTCAGTCTCCTGAATAGGATTACAGGCATGAGCCACCAGTGTCTGCCTTACCTATTTCTTTTCTTTTTCTTTTCTCTTCTTTTTTTTTTTTTTTTTTTGTCAGCCGTGAAGCTTGAACTCTGGGCCTGGGCACTATCCCTCAGCTCTTCAGCTCAAGGCTAGTACTCTAGCCGGTGCCGGTGGCTCACACCTATAATCCTAACTACTCAGGAGGCTGAGATCTGAGGATCTCGGTTCAAAGCCAGCCTGGGCTTATCTCCAATAAAACATTAGAAAACCGGAAGTGGCAGAGCGCTCGCCTTTAGCTGAAGAGCACAGGGACAGCACCCAAGCCCAGAGTTCAGGTCTCACGACCACCAAAAAAATAAAAAAGGCTAGTACTCTAGCAGTTGAGCCACAGAACCACTTCCGGCTTTTTCTGTTTATGTGGTGCTGAGGAATTGAACCCAGGGTCTCAAACATGCAAGGCAAGCGCTCTACCACTGAGCCACCTTCCCAGCCCTGCCTCACCTATTTCTTAACTAGGGAACTTTTATTCGCCTTCTGCGCCCATATCCTCAGCCCATATCCTCAGGTCCCTTCCAGAAGCCAGGCCATCTCCCCCCCCCCCTCCCCCGCCCTGTCTGCAGCATCTCGTGGCAGAGCCGTTTAAAGTCAAACACATTCTTTGTGGAAAGTTGTCCCTTCCGTGGCCTTGAGCTCCATGCAAGTTTATCAAGAAATCGGGAATTCTGTTATCAACTCTTTTAAGACACAAAGAGAAAATAGTAGAATCTGCTCCACCATCTGCACCTTCAACAATTATTATTATTATTATTTGCCAATCTCTTTTTCACCTAAGATAAAATTCACCTCAGTTCTTGGGGTGCATCTTTTTTGTGAGGGGTGCATCTTTTAAAATAAAAGTACAGGGTTCGGGGGTGGGGGTTAGCTCAGTAATAGATCGATTACTTAGCATGAAGGAGAACTTGAGTTCCATCTCCACCACCTCCTCAAACAGGAAAAAGGTCCCTAACCCCCAAATCAAATAAAAAACATGATGCCACCGGCTTAGTAACTTCTCCTTCGTTCTCTGTGTTGAAGGGTGGAGCTTGGGCTCCCCGGTCGCCTTCAGGGGGCCGAGGGGACGCAGAAGAGGTGAACTGGGGTGCGTGCGGGAGATGGGGAGGTGGAGGATCCGGCGGCGGGTACCGGAGGGCTGGGAGAGCTCCGGTCCTGGACCTCGCGGAGGAGCACCGCGCCGGCTAGAGCGCCGTGTCGGCCGCGGGGTCCTGCGCAGGCCCCTCGCGGGAGTAGAACTCTTCGATCACGCTCTGCGGGATGCGCTTCAGCATCTCCTTGGGGAAGATGCGCAGCAGCTTCCAGCCCAGATCCAGAGATTCGAACACCGAGCGGTTCTCGTAGGAACCTGGGGGCCGAGCGGGAGTGTCAGGGGTGGGTGGGGCGGCTGGAAGGAAGGCGGGGCGGGGACGCGCGGCTCACCCTGGTTGATGAAGTTCCTCTCGAACTTCTGCAGGAATTCCAGGTAGAGCAGGTCTTCGGAGGTGAGCGCTTCCTCCCCAACCACGGCCTTCATGGCCTGCACGTCCTTCCCGATGGCGTAGCAGGCGTACTGAGGGACGGGGTACGGGGACAAGGGGGACCGGTGGGGCCATCGGAGGGGCTGATCGGGAAGCGGGTGCCCCCTTCTCCCACCCCCTCGCGCAGGCTGTGCTAGCGAGCTCCTTTGAGTAGTTTCGTCAGAATCGGGTCCACCTGGGACTCATCTCTATCTTCTGAAAACCCGACCCGCTCCTCACCAACTGGTTAGAGACATCGCCGTGGTCCTTCCTCGTCATGCCCTCCCCAATGGCGGACTTCATCAGCCTTGACAGCGACGGGAGCACGTTGATGGGCGGGTAGATCTGGAGCGCGGGAGGAGCGTGGTGGACAGCGGGCCCCAAGCTGTGCTGTCCCGGCCTTTGGCTCGTCATCCCCACCCTCGCCCCGTGCCTGGTTCTGGGGAGACTCCTAGAAGAATCTGGGAAGAGATGAGGGATCCCACTCCCCTCTCCTTTATTTCCCACGGGTTCTAGGGCTTGAAGTCTCCACGTGGTAGCCTTAGGCAGGACTGTAGATGGGGTGAACATTAGTGAAAGACTATTTCAAACCATTTGATTATGTGGACAAAGCAGATTGATGTTTCATAGCGGTAAAGAAAGAATCTGCTGTTCGAGGGTAAAGTTGTAGCTTTCTTTTTTTATTTTCTGGCAGTATGGGGGTGTTCAAGTCACGGTTTTATATTTGCTAGGCACTCTACCACTTGAGCCACATGTTAATCCTTTTTGTTTTAATCTTCCAGATACAGTCTCTTGATTTTGCTCTGGTTAGCTCTTACTTAATCTTACATATGCTTCCCAAGTAGCTAGGATTACAAATGTGGATCACCATGCTTGATGTGTTCTCTTTTTGTTGTTTTGTTTTTGTCAGTCGTGGAACTTGAACTCTAGGCCTGGGTGTTGTCCCTCAACTCTTCAACTCAAGGTTAGTGCTCTACTACTTGAGCCACAGTGCCACTTTCATTTTGCTGGTGGTTAATTGAAGAGTCTCATGGACTTTCCTGCCCAGGCTGGCTTTGAACTGTGATCCTCAGATCTCAGCCTCCTGAGTAGCTAGGATTACTGGCCAGAACCATCAGCGCCCACTTTGGTGTGTTCTTTGAAAGAAAGGGGTTCTTGCTAACTTCCCCACCCCCCACCCCCACCCCAGACTGTCCTCAATCTGCAATCTTCCTAAATCCTCTTTCCACTTTTTTCTCCAGGCTATACTCAAACCACAATCCTCCTATGTCTTTTTCCTGTATAACTGGGATTAGAGGTGTGAGCTTCTGCATCTTGCCCCTGAGCACAGCCTTTAGCCCTTTTAGACCTGTGTGTGTGTGCCAATCCTGGAGTTTGAACTCAAGGCCTGAGTGTGTCCCTGAACTTTTCTGCACAAGGATAGCACTCTACCACTTGAGCCACAGCTCCATGTCCAGCTTTCATGACTGGCTGGCTTCAAACCTTGATCCTCAGATCTCAGCCTCCTAAATAGCTAGGGTTACAGGTGTGTGCCACCTTGCCTGGCATGGGATCAATATTTTCTAGCCCTATGGCCCTTTATTCACAATTTACTTGTTTTAGCCATTGGTTTCTGCTCACCAAAGCAGAAAAGGAAAGGAAAAGGAAGGGAAATGTTGTTATTTAGTCTCTACTAATTAGCAGCACATGTTTCTTGTCTGCTAGTTTAGTTTATTTTCCACAATGTATTGGTGAGCATTCCCTTGTCATCAAAGAACAACTCTAGGCCCAGAGAAATGAGATTGTTTTCTCAGGGTCCCATGACAGATGGGCTGGATTCTACCCAGCTGTAATCAGTTTTCCTAAGTGCATATTGCCCCTCTGCACTGTCTTTGGAGAGGAGAACAGAAGCGGGAGGGAGGGAGCAGTACCTGCCGGTTATATAACTGTCTGTCCACGTAGATCTGTCCTTCTGTGATGAAGCCTGTCAAGTCTGGGATGGGGTGGGTGATATCTACAAGAAAATGCACTGGTCTTAATGAGGATGGGTCTAGGTTTCTGCCCACTTAGGATCACTAGGATTTTAGCCCTCTTGTGAGGGCTGTGCAGCCTCACAAAACAGCATGTCCTCTCCCTTTCTCTCTCATTCCCTCTCCCTCCCCTCACATCTGGGTGAGAAAGGGAAGGAGGATTCTGGAGGTTGGGGGCTGCAAGAAGGCTACCATCATTGGGCATGGTGAGGATGGGTATCTGTGTGATGGATCCTCCTCGGCCCTCCACGCGGCCTGCTCTCTCATAGATGGTCGCCAGGTCTGTGTACATGTATCCTGGGAAGCCTCTGCGGCCGGGCACCTCCTCTCTGGCAGCTGAGACCTGCAATACCCATGGGCATTGAGAGTAAGACAGGAGATAAGAGGTGGAGACTAGGAAGGGGGAGAAGGATGTCTGGAGTGGAGGGATGGAGAGGAACAGCAGGGTGCAGTAGGAGAGCTCCCTTCTTCAGGGTGACCCCCTGGATTGTGATGACTAGGAAGACAGCAATGGACCTGACACTGTCAGCCAGCTCACCTCCCGCAGGGCTTCTGCATAGGAACTCATGTCCGTCAAGATGACCAGCACGTGCTTCTCACACTGGTAGGCAAGGAATTCGGCAGTGGTTAGTGCCAGGCGTGGGGTGATGATCCGCTCAATCCTGGAGGCAAGGCATGGCCAAAATTTAGAGATCTTGGAGGTCTAGGCCTGGAGCCCCCATGTAGGCCCAGGGAGAGTGCAAGGTGAACTGGGAAACAGGTTCACATATAGCAACAGGGGATGGAGAACTTGGGCCCTTGCCTCCAAGCCCCAGGTCTGGGCCATTTTCCAGGGAGCAGGTACTTGCTAGCAAATCTGATTCCCCTTGCTACTACCTCTCCAACATACAGAGGGGTCAGAGCGAAGGCCAGCATGGGAGTTTCTTAAGAGGGCCAGATTTATTTCATGATGAGAGTAGCCTTGTCAGATGGGGTGAGAGAAAGTGAAGGACTCTAATGTGTTACCCTCATGAGTGGCCTGAGGCAGAAGCACCTGCTCTAGTACCCTCTTAGCCCAGGGCACCCTGAGTTTGGGTCCCTCTTTGTCTTTTCTCGGATCCCAGTGCACACTCGTGTACCCTTCCCATCTGAAGCACCTATGAGCACTCTTCTTTTGACTCAGCCACTCTCAATCCCTAGACTTGCTTAGGCTTTTGGTTCCCATCCTTGGTAGGAACCAAATCTTGGCCTCTACAATTGTATTACTTAGTTTTTGCAGCAGCCTCAATACTGAGGATAGTTTATTGGAATTAATTTTGCACCTGATCCCCAGATCTTCAACTTCTACTAAGTTTTCAAAACAGTGATTTCTCTAAGAAAACAGCAAAGTGGTGACTTTCTGGGAGTGGCCCTAGGATGGTGGGGCCCTGCTTTAGAACAGTGGCTGCATGTAGGTTGTGGGAGGAACAGAGGCACCACAGGTGGTAGGAAAGGCCGTGCTCTGGCTGCCTGTGTCTCTCAGTAGGCTTTCTCTAGCCCTTCCCAGGCCTCATTCCCCCCCCCCCCTCCGTGCCCCTCCACCTCCCCCCATCTGTACAACCACAATGTTTTCTCCTAAGTCTGGCTTATGGTTGTGGTACTGGGTCACCCTGAGCCTTTCGACTTTGAGTCTTGGAAGGAGAGAGGGCTTACTCCCTGAGGGCAGTCTGGGCATGGGGAGGGCTCACGTGGGGTCATTGGCCAAGTTCAGAAAGAGACAGACGTTTCCCATGGTTCCATTCTGCTCAAAGTCTGACTTGAAGAACCTGGCTGTCTCCATGTTCACCTGCACACACAGCAGAGAGGGTTAGAAGCAGTACCCTGCAGCCTGAGGGCAAGCCTAGCCCCTCCCAGCTCTCCTCAAAGCCTGTGGATTGACTGGCTAACAGTTGCTGGGGTTAATAGTCACTGGGTGACTCAGGCTTGATCAGGTCCTCTAGAGAAGGTCAGACTTTTTCATCTTGAATTCTACTCAGTGGCATCACTGCCCCCTTCTTTGATGAACTGCTTTCCCTACAACTCTCTGTCTTCCTCCAAAGGCCCTCTGAGAACCCCTTCCTGTAGCTGTCTTGTCTCCCTAGGATCCATGGTTTCCTCCTTCAGACCACACTGGGCCTTATCATATGGCTGTCATAGCCTTTGGGATGCCTTGTGTGACCAAACTGATTTGGTCATGTTCTTGCTCTTATCTCTATCACCAGACTTGCCTGGAGTTTGATGGATTGTCACCTAGAAGCAGGACTGTGTCTCCCCCCACTCTGATCAGGTGGTGCCAGGGTCTGGGATCAAGATAGGCCTGCCTGATCACAGCTTCCAGAACTTGCAGGTCCTCTCAGCCTCCTTACCCCCATAGCTGCAAAGACAATGGCGAAGTTGTCCTCATGATAATCAAGCACTGCCTTGGATTTCTTCACCAGCCCAGCCTGGCGGCAGATCTGGGCAGCAATCTGTGGCAGAATGGGTGAGGAGAGAGGCCATGAGAGCAAAGCCCAGAGCACTACAGAACACAAGTGAGAATGGACAGAAATCTCCAGTCTATCCTCCCCCCACTGGCCCAAGCCCTTGGGTGTCCAAACTCAGAGAGGTTAAGGGTCTTCCTTGGGCTCTACAGCCTTTCTTGGGGAGATGGGGTGGCCTGTTCTGTGGTTACTGAATGTCTGACGGTGCCCATCACTAGGAGCAGGGCAGAGGAATGAATGGTCCCCAAGAACAAATCACTGAGTATGGTTTTGAGCAAGTTGGCTCAGGGCAGTTAAGCCTTTCAGACCCGCACCTCCCACAGCCTGCTGTGATTCTGTGTGTAGAGTTGCTCCGGGCCTGCAGTAGGAGGGCTTGCAGACCTCATGTACCAAACTAGGATATGTGTATGGATGTGTGGAAGGATGGAGGCGCTTAGCCATCTGGTCACAAACACCATTTTGAGAGTGAGTGGGGAAAGAGTGACTAGAAACCTTGACACATCAGCTACTCTAAGAAGCTGCTGTCCCTGCCTGGTGCAGTGAGCAGCACAAGAACTAGCAGGGAGAGGCTGCAGCCGATCTGGCAGCGCTTTTGACACTAGGGGATACTTAGGTGCTCTCTTGAGCCAGTGAGTTACCCACTCACTTAAGGCAGTTGGAAGTCCTGCTGTGGAGCAGTGACACTTGCTGTATGCCAGGTCTTAAGTAGTCCTGAAGCCCTGAACTTCCAGGGGATGCCTGCTAGTCTGGATGCTGGTGATTCCCACTTCCTGTTCTCAATAGGAACCCAGCTTGTTGGCTCAGCAGCCTGGGCCTTCACTTTGTCCTTGCGCCTTGGTTATACCCCACAAGCTCACCTCATTGTGAGGGAGCCCTGCTGCAGAGAAGATGGGGATCTTCTGACCACGTGCAATGCTGTTCATGACATCAATGGGAGAGAGGCCTGTCTGAATCATCTCCTCTGGGTAGATGCGGTCATGGGGATTGATGGGCTGGCCTAAAAAGGAGCAGCCATGAATGCTCAGGGGTTGTAGCCCTTCCCTTCCTTCCCCACCCATGCCCCATCTCCAGAGAACTTTCTGCCATGGTAGAACTGTGCTCTATTTGCACAGCCCTAGCCATGTGGCTATTGCCATATGAAATGTGGCTTCCAAATGAAGCCTTCTTTCCTATTGGTTTAAGTTTAAACAGTGACAGGACCTGTGCTACCTTGGACAGAGCCACTTTAGAGTTTGGAAGCTGGTGGTGGGAACTCAGGCTGAGGGTTCCTTGGGCTAAGACAGTTTGCTCTTCATGCCCCAGACCCTTGTGTGGGGTTCAGAAGACCCCAGGGTGACTCAAAGACCACTTCTCTGAGCTGTTGTGTGCTCTGTGCTCTCGCATCAGCTTCCTGATGGCTTGGGCAAGCTACTGGCAACCACAGGGCTCTGTCAGTCCCTCCATAGACTGAGAGGTGGGAGTTGGAGGACTCAGGAAGAACTTCAGGATGTCTCAGAGCCTGGGTGGGGCTTTTGCTGCTGCTGCAAACCATGTTAGCCTTGGCTTTCATGGTGGCACAGGAACTAAAGGTGCGGAGGGATGACTTGGGAGCACATGCAGAACACTGAGCAATGCAGTGACATTTTACAGGGGTGAGACGTGGCATGCTGAGGGCAATGTTCAGCTTCAGTGGTAGATCTAGAGACAGAGAAGCCTTTGCTTCTCGGACATTATACTGTATCTATTTGTTTGCTCAGCCAGCCCAAAGGCCATCACTGGTCAGTCATTCTGACTTGTGTAGGTAGAACTCCCAAGGACAGAATGACAGAGATGACAGTGGGGGGAGGGTTGGAGACTAAGTCCTATAATCCATCCAGAGCCTCCCCTCACTCACCATTGATGTCCAGAAATTCCTCCGCCATGACCACTGGCCCTTTGTCAATGGGTTTGCCAGAGCCATTGAAAACTCGACCTGAGAGTGAGAGGGGGTGTAGAATGTGTTCAGGGCCAGCCCTGGGTCTCTCACAGATCTCATCTCCTGCATCACCCCAGGATCCTCTCACCAACATCCCATTGTGTCCGCACCTCCTCAGAGGCTGTCCCAGGAAGATGACTATAGGAACTGTCACCCTGAGAGTCCTCATGTCTCTCATGGAGACCTTTATGGGCAAGGTCTTGGTCTAGGACTCTGATTCTAGTAGGAGGATTCTAGGGCTGCAAAGAGGGAACTATCAGGCAAGGTGGGTCTTGAAATAAATTTTTGGGATATGCACAATTCAGCCTAACCTCAAATAAGGTACCTGCTGTATCTCTAGTTTATTGAACTTGCTTTGCTCATTGAATACTTTCTGTATGGCACGCCCTGAGCTGGGGTTGGGAACCAAAGAGAGAAGATATCACCTGTGGCCTCAAATTGCACACAGGTAAGACAGGCATGTAAACAAGCAATACAATGTGGTATGTAAAGGCCCAAGAGGGCTCTGCCCAGCATGTCCCTCACCCAGCATGTCCTCTGACACTGGAGTCCGTAAGATGTCCCCTGTGAATTCACAAGTTGTCTTCTGGGCATCAATTCCAGAGGTCCCTTCAAACACCTAGAGGACAAGATATAGTTCCTCTGATAAAGGCTTGCTGGAGAGATTGATCTCCACTCCAGGCATTATTTGTGCCCAGGTTTGGGCAGGCCAACAGGGAGGTAGGTAATTTCTTGCTTGTAAGAGAGTGTGGTAATTTTGTGAGCTCATTTGTGTATTCACTCGGCCAAAAGAGCTCCCAGTGACACCACCTACCTGAACAATGGCTTTGGTCCCAGCCACCTCAAGCACTTGGCCACTCCTCTGAGTCCCATCCGGGAGGGTGAAGTTCACAATCTCTGCATACTGTGCAAACTGACAGGGAAAGAGAGAAGCCCAGGATGGTAGTAAGACCAGAGGCAAAGCCCAAGCCGCCTCCTCCATTCCTTTCTGATCCAGTTGCAAGCTACTATCTGTGTTCTTGTGCCTAGACACTTTTAGAAATAAACTTGAAGGGCTGGGATGGGGACATTTGGATCCTGCGTGGGAGGGAGTATGACAAGGCATTTAGAGTCAAAGACCAGGTTAAAATGCGAGCTCTTTTACTTAGCTGTGTGGCCTTGCACGAATTGCTTAGTGATTTGTAGCAACTAATTAAGTATTTAAGCCATTAACTCATGAGACTTAGTTTTCTCATCCTTAAAATGAGGGTAAGAAAAAGATCTATTCCACAGGGCTGCTGTAGTCAGGAAGTGAGATAATATAGATGAATCTGTTAGCATGGCACCTTATAAAAACTTAATAAAGTAGAATAGCTGTTGTGGGCACCCAGATCTTCTGGAAGGCCCAGTGCTTCAGTTGGTTAATGGGAAGTACACTGACAAAATGCTTTCCTTTGTCCAAACTCCAAGAGAAAGACTCCCTGCTCTTTGATATCTCTATGTAGGGACTTTTCTCAGCCATGGGGTTGGTATTGATTTATGTCAGGAAATTAGGGAAAAGAAAAAAAAATAACAGATGAATATCCAGAATACGCAAAGAACTCTTACAGCCAGATAAAAGATTTGAGGATGATTGATAGACATTTCTTCAAAGAAGATATATGAATTATCAATAGACATCTGATAAGATACTCAGTATTATTAGACATTAAGAAAATAAAAATTGACAGGCAACAGTGTCACATGCTTGTTATCCTAGCTACTCAGGAGGCAGAGCTCTGAGGATTGCAATTCAAAGCCAGACAAGGCAGGAAAGTCCATGAGACTCTTTATCTCCAACTAACCACCAAAAAAGTTGGAAGTAGAGTTGTAGCTACAGTGGTAGAGTGCTAGCCTTGAGGGAAAAAAAAAATCTAAGGGACAGTGCCAAGGCTCTAAGTTCAAGTCCCAGGACCACAACACACACACACACACACACACACACACACACACACACACACACACACACACAAATACATGTACATGAATGGGCACAGCATGGTCATAGTAGCAAAGAACTGGAAACAAGCCAGTTGCTGGTGGCTCATGCTTGTATACCTGAAGATCATGTTTCCAAGTCAGCCTGGGTAGCAACCTCCCTTAGACTCTTATCTCCAAAAATTTACTCAGACAAGATTGGGGGCATTCAGAGTGGTATGGCCATAGACAACTCAGAAAAAAGCCAGAAGGGGCACTAGGGCTCAAGTAGTAGAGTGCTTGCCTTGAGCAAAAGAAACTCAGGTCAGGGACAGCTCCCAGGACCAAAGTTGAAACCCCAGGACTGGAAAAAAAAAGTGAAAACAATCAAATTAGCTGCCAGCTGATGAATGCATAAATAAAATGTAATATTCACTTGAAAAATGTGACATTTATGGTATGTGAATTATAACTAAATTTAAAATCCCATCAGGTTGTCACTTGAAGACCAGGTAGGCAGGTAAGACTTCTTCCTGGGAAATCCCTAAACTCTGTAGTCTTTAGCCACATCTAAGGAAAGCTATAAAAAATACTAATTCCTCACTTCTGAGTTTGGTTCTTTGAAAAGTCTAATAAAATATACAAATAGACAACATAAGAAAACAATGAAAGCCATGAATAAAATAACTGTTGGAGCTGTACTGATATATTAAAGAGGAAATAAAATGAATTATAAATAACTTTATACTGCATATAGAATTTAGATGAAATGAGTAAAGTTTTAGGATAATATGACTCAAGCTAAAACCAATGAAAAATTAATAGAAAGTCAGAGTGATTATATAGTTCAAAGATATAGAATAAATAGGTTAAAATTCACCCCCACAGAAAAGTGCCAGTCTCACATAGCTCTACAAGTGAATTCTAGCAATCCACGGGGAAATAATTTGAAATTTACTTAAGCTCTTCAAAACCCCAGAAGAAAAGGTTAATTCATTTTATGAGGCAAGCATAACCTTATACCCAAATAAAATAGTTATAGACGGGGCTGGGAAGGTAGCTCAGTGGTAGAGCGCTTGCCTTGCATGCCTGAGGCCCTGGGTTCGAGTCCTCAGCACCACATAAGCAAAAAAGAAAAAAGCTGGAAGTGGCACGGTGGCTCAAGTGGTAGAGCACTAGCCTTGAGCTGAAGAGCTGAGGGACAGCGCCCAGGCCCACAGTTCGGGCCCCACGACCGGACCCAAAAAAAAAATAGTTATAGAGAAATTATAGGTAGTTTCACTCATGAATATGGATGTAGAAATCCCACATTATATATTAGCAAGCCAAATTCAGTAATGTGTAAAAAAGATTGTTAAAAACCCAAATAATAAAATTAAAAAATTATGTATATCACCTTTATAATAACAATTAAAAATGCAGACATTAAGAAGATGTCACGTTTTTCTATTTTTGAGTCTGTGACTCAAAACTCAGAATTAACTTTTTTTTTTTTTTGGGTCCGGTCATGGGGCCTGAACTCTGGGCCTGGACGCTGTCCCTCAGCTCTTCAGCTCAAGGCTAGCACTCTACCACTTGAACCACAGCACCACTTCCAGCTTTTTTCTTTTTTGCTTATGTGGTGCTGAGGACTCGAACCCAGGGCCTCAGGCATGCAAGGCAAGCGCTCTACCACTGAGCTACCTTCCCAGCCCCCAGAATTAACTTTTTTAAAAAGGAACTGAAAATACAACCATGAACATTGACAAATGCATAAAGACCTTATAGGACCAGAAAAAAGGTCACAAATAGAAAGTAAAAAATACCAAATTGAAACTGTTCAAGGAATTCAAGGTTAGTCTAATATTTGAAAAAAATCTATTGATACAGTTCAACTTTTTTTAGTTCAACTTACTAATAGAGCAAGAGATCCAACCTATAACCATTTCAAAAAATTTTTGGAAGAAATTAAAAATTATCTATAATTATATAAAAAGATCAAAATTATTCTTTGAAAACAAAGAATAAAAGGGAAATTTCTTTTTCTTTTTCTTTTAAAGGTGATGTACAGAAGGGTTACCGTTACCTAAGTCAGGCAATGAGTACATTTCTTTTTGAAGAGTGTCATGCCCTCCCTCTTTTTCGCCTAGTTTTTTCCCTCCCTTTCCTCTCCCCATCAAGTTTTATAGTTCATTTCTAACATAGTATCTAATGAGAATCACCACTGAATTAGTTCACCCTTTATCCCCCCATTTCTCTATTTCCCGTTCCCCTCCTAAAAGGGAAATTCCTTAATCACCAAGTGAGTGTCCTTAAGAAGCCTACAGATACTTTTTCAATAGAAATATGCATGAACACACACACACACACACACACACTTTTTTGTTGGTCATGGGGTCTGAACTCTGGGCCTGGATGCTGTCCCTCAGCTCTTCAGCTCAAGGCTAGCGCTCTACCACTTGAGCCACAGCATCACTTCCAGCTTTTTCTGCTTACGTGATGCTGAAGGATCGAACCCAAGGCTTCATGCGTGCAAGTCAAGCACTCTACCACTGAGCCACCTTCCCATCCCTGAACATATATTTTTCAATATGAATATGAAATATCCTATTCAATGACATGATGTATAAAACCTTCTCTTTAAAATTAGGAGGCAAACAAGAAAACCTGTCATCACTGTTTGATAAAGCACAGTACTGGACAATAAAAGGAATCAATATTAAAAGGAAATAAAACCATAATTTACAGGAAAATAGATGAAAGTGGAGATCATGATGCTAAGAGAAGTAAGCCAGTCCCATGGAGGCAAGGATTGCATGTTTTCTCTATTCTGTAGGATATGGGGGTGGGGGCAGGGGAAAGGCAAGGACAGAATGGTAAAAGAAAGGCTATTAGGGATGTAAAAGGAGTAAGGGAGGGGCTGGGAAGGTGGCTCAGTGGTAGAGCGCTTGCCTTGCATGCCTGAGGCCCTGGGTTCGATTCCTCAGCACCACATAAGCAAAAAGAAAAAAGCCGGAAGTGGTGCTGTGGCTCAAGTGGTAGAGCACTACCTTTGAGCTGAAGAGCTGAGGGACAGCGCCCAGGCCCAGAGTTCAGGCCCCACGACCGGACCCAAAAAAAAAAACCCCCCCAAAAAAAAAAAAAGGAGTAAGGGAAAAGTCAGAGGGTGGATAAAAATATAATAGAGGGATGGATATAATCAAAGTAAATTATATGCACATATGAAAATGTTATGAAATTTCCCTTTGTAAAATTAACATTAAGAAAAACTCATTTGGTAAAAAAACAAAACAAAACAAAAAAAACCTATGTGCTTAAAAGCTCTGCAATGCCCAAGTCAAAAAAAAGAGTACTCCAACAAAAACCAGAGACTAATTTCTCTTACAAATATGGCTGCAGAAATTCTTTTTTTTTTTTTTTTCAGGTAAGGGGTAGGTTTATTCAATAGACCTGCTGGGACCAGGCAAGATTGGCACTCCACACGGCTGGCAAAAGGCCAGAGAGAAAGAGCTGGGAAAGAGAATGTTAGGTTTTTAAAAAGAGGTAGCCGAGTAAGAACAGTACCATGCACGATGGCCCTCCATGCGGCTGGGAAGAGGCCTGGGAAAGAGGTGGGAAAGAGCTGAGAAAGAGCTAGAAAAGAGAAGAGAGAGCTGGGAAAGAGAAGAGAAGGAAAGAGCTGAGAAAGAGCTAGAAAAGAGCAGAGAGAGTGGCTGCAGAAATTCTATTTGTTCATCTAATCAGGCTGCAAACATGTGAATAATTAGAGTTTGTTTCAATAATGTAAGGCTGGAACAATCATCATCAGGAAATTTGTCAACATTTGACATAATTTATAATAATAGGGAGTTGGTCAACAAAAATGCTCAACAATAATAAGGAGTTGGTCCACAACAACAACAAAAATCCTGGAATAGAAGAATCCCTTCATATGAATAGAAGCAGAAATGCTTTTGATAACATTTCCAAAGCAGCTGTGACTAATATAGTTCTATGCTA